CGCTCTTCCCGGTTTTCTACATCCCAAGTGAAAGCTGGAAGTCCTAGGAGCTTTAAGACATAAGAAAAATATTCGTGACCTTTACCACCAGCCCAAATCAGAAAATTCAGAAACTCTGGAGAAGGGCGGAGCCACCAGTCTGTTTTGTTTTGTTTTTAAATATTTATTTTCTTTTTGGCTGCATCTGGTCTTAGTTGCGGCACGCGGGCTATTCCTTGTGCCGCATGGACGTCTCTCTAGTTGTGGCACGAATGCTCAGTAGTTGTGGTGCGCAGGCTTAGTTGCTCCGCTGTATGTGGGATCTTAGTTCCCTGGCCAGGGATCGAACCCGCGTCCCCTGCATTGGAAGACGGATTCTTAACCACTGGACCACCGGGGAAGTCTCACCAGTCCGTTTTTAACAGACTTCCTGTGTAGGACGCCTGGCGTGTCGTCAGTGCTGAAATGAGCAGTGGCTGTTGCCGACCCTTCTGCAACCCGCAGATGGCATGGAGGGCAGAGGGCAGCTGGCTGAGGTTCCCGTGAACACATGCTGCGCTGGTGGGGTTCCAGTTGCAACGTGCCCACCTTACTCACTGTCCCTCGGCAGCCCAAAGAGCTGATTTCCTGTCCTTTGGAAGCACGTCTCACTGATTCTTCAGTTTCCCGAAAGGAGATCCCAGTCATCCAGACTTGGTGGGGGGGGGGGCACTAATTTTAGTTGCTTTCCCAAAGCGCTGCCTGGATCTGCCCCTCCCGGTGGCTCCCCCCTGTGCCCCCGCCCTCACACCTGTCCACCTGCTCACTCACTCTCATCCTCCCACACACGGTCACTCACACTCCTCTCCCACCCCCTCAGCTTGGCTCTTCTGTCCCCTGGCCTCCCTGTGTTCATGGACAGGCCAGCTCCCCCTTCAGGGCCTTGAACGTGGAGGCCCTTCTCCTGGGGCCTTCTTTGTTGCATTCAGATCTCTTCTTTTCAAACTCACCTGAGTCTGTCCTTCCATGAATTCTGCCCCTGCCTCCCAGGCATTTTGTTTCTCTGAATTTGGGTAGCATTCAGGTATATCTTATCATTTTGACCAGGGTCCTGCTAGTAGGCCCTCTGTCACCTGAGAGTTTGTAATCTGGTTATATTCCCTTCCAGGTGACTGCCCTTTGGGAGGGCTTTTGAGTGCTTCTTTACTCCTGATTCAGCAG